AAGAGTCACAAAGTTGGTAAGACACTGATAGTTAGGTAGATAGTGTTGCTAACACTATACATTCACTGATTTCAGTCATTAATAGTTGTACGGTGATGAATAGAAGAGCAACTCTAAGTTCGGGATCAAGTAGCCATATGAGTTCGAGTCCGAATAAAGTAGAATTATATAAGAGAGTCGGTTCTGAGAACCTTGTCTGACATACATTCAACTTAAGACATTTAAGAAGAAGGTGATCAAGATGATATACAAACGGATTACAAGCCTTTATTGGGGCGAAGCAACTATCAGCTAGAGTTACTACCTGCCAGGATATAGTTGTTCCACATTGGAAAATAAAGGAAGGTGCCTTCTATGTTAAGTGGTGTTTCATGGAGCCAAGGATTTAGTTCATCATGAACCTATTTGCAACAAAAGACTATTAGAATAGTTGATATCATCTCTGCGATATTTACTAGAATAAGGACCCCTACAAAGTAGAATGATGAGTCAGGATAAGGATCAGAGGTCGCGGGACTACGCGACTAGATTCCGACCGAGGTTTCTCAAGCCGTCATAAAAGACTTACCTAGCATGGTTGATAGGATCACTAACATGCTGACTGTCAGATTTATGGAGAAAATTATAGTTGCTCGGGATATTGAGGAAAAAACAAAAACGAGACCAGGGGAAATTGAAATACGTAACTGAGGAAGAGGAAACAAATGCAGGAGCTAGCTCCACTAATAAGGGCCAAGGAAATTGGTGCTGATAAGACAAGTGTTCACGGTCCTGAGGACCACCCGATCTATGCAAAGTGTGGAGGAACCCACATATTTACATGTCATAGGTTCAAATGCTTTAATAATAGGAAAAGGGGCATGTTCGGCAAGACTATATCAATGAAGAGGTGTGATTTCACTGGTTTCAACCTTGTAACACTCGATGTCAGGTATTTTTCATTCCAGCCCTTTATGTTTTAAATTTTTTGCAAATAAGGTACTTACATTGGGAGTACAAGGATGTACATCGGGCGTAAGTCAGCAGACGTGTAGTGGGTCAAAAGTTAAGTACGTTAGGCGTACATGTGAGTACGTTGCGTGTACTCGTGCATTCCTTAAACCCTATTTTTTTTGGCTTGTGACTCCTATTTAAGCATCATAATCCCTCTTGGACCTTCTCATGACCAACTTCCATCCCTCTAAACCCTTAAGTCAAAACCCTAGCCCTTGTGAGTGACATTTGAAGCTTGAGAGCGATCCTTGAGTTTTCTTGGTAGTGAAGGAAGGTCATTCAAAAGTGGTGATACATTCAAGCCTTTGGATCCAGAATCTAAATATCTTTGTCCACCTTTTGAATCTATAAAGTTCAAACCTTGGAGCTCGTTTTGATAGATCTTGTTTAGACTTGGATTTAAGTTCATTTTGTCCCAAAACCTTGATCTTTGTGAGTATGGAATACTACAGAGCATATGATTTGTCCTTTCAGACATTTTAAGGTGCTTAGAGTCATAAAAATGTTAGCTTGGCCCTTTCCTTTCTTCCATGCGAGAGTTACGGAGATTTTGGTGAATTGAAATGTTAGGGTTTTGGGATTAAGCTCTCATTAGTCATGTAAAGGCATAAAGTCAGTGACTTTATGGATTAGGATATCTTTTTAGGGTCAAATCTGAAGTTGGAGTAAATGTATTAATGACTAAGACCTTAAAAGTGAAGTTTTGGGATCAGCCGTGTACACCGAGCGTACTCTTTGTTACACCCAATGTAGCCAGTGGCAAGCCCGATCCTTCTTGCCTTGCACTCTACACCCAATGTACAGATGGTTACGCCCACCTATAACCACGCTTTAACTTTCGTTGACATTTGTGATTTTCTTGAAATGATTTTTATGAACAATGTTTTTATATGAATTTAAAATGAAGATTTTGGTTTGGAAATTTGGATGTTACAAACCTGGCCACAAAAAATCTAAATGCCTCATATTTGTGCCGGAGGAAATTCAGACCCAGCACTTGTAGTCCTGTAGGAGGAGGAAAAAGTTATGTATTAGTTAGAAAAGGAATCCACAACCAATGAAGGAGGTGTGTTGTTTCCTATCAAAGAAGAATGAGTGATATTGGTAGGAATTACTCGACAGTATGCCACAATGTCTACTTTTGGTACGTAGGTATCACTATGTAACCCATGAATCATCATTATTGTTTGTATGATTTAAAATGCAATAAAATCCACTTTCTTATTCATATATGTTATTACATTACTAGACAACATTGTGCTTGTCACGATCTTATCCTCTTTTGGTGGTGCTATGCAAGGAGGCCACTTACGATAGGCACAATTAGTAATACTACGATTAGAAGGTCGAAGGTCATTGGAGATGACAATCGTGAGTTTCTTCAAAGTTAAAAGGAGACACAAATGACATAGGTTGATCTAGCTTAAGTTACAAGTAGCAACAGATGATGGGTCGAACCCAAGTTAGGGAGAATCGACCCTTTAGGAGAAAGTACTAAGGACAATTTAACTTTTGATTTCAACATCAAGGTCCAGGAGAGTAGCAACACGAGTAGGAAGAGATAGTTAGTTTCGATTCGTTGAGTGGGTAACAGAAGAACGAAGTCTTCAATTAAATTACCGATATGTTATGAGTGTCTTGTTTCTCAAGGAAAGGTTGGTATATCCTCCCAAGAGACTAATAGGATTTAGGAAGTAATCGAATTCCCAAGTGCATCTTAGATTGCCAAGAGAACCATCTCGGTTCGTACCTTCACAAATTAAGGATATATCCTCGTAGCAGAGGATCAAGAAAAAAAAAAGTTAGAAACCAAGTGTGCAAATTATTCCAAACCACAATGTCGTTCGTGTAATTTACTCCTTATTTTATTGGTTGGCTCTTAGGGGGACGAACAAGTGCTTAGGATGCACGTGAGTTAGGGATATAGTTTTACATGTTGGTAACCAATTCAATTAATGAAATAACAAATAATAAGTTTAAGTTGAGTTTATTTTGAAAGAAAAAATATTTTATTTCTAAACATGAAATATTACAAAATCTAGGGTTTTTTATGGAAAAAAATACAAAACGGCAAATTTGGTCCTTATGGCATGTAAAAAAGTTTTGATGGGGTCCAAAATCTTTTTGAGTTGCATGGATGGTCCAAAATCAGAAACTTTTTGTGGATTTGGTCCCCTCAAACTCTATTATCTTTGAATTTGGTCCACACACAACCTAAAGTGACTTATATGCCCTTCCAATGATTCTTTTTTAATTTAATTTCCTTTTCCTTTTTGTATATTTATATTAATCCCTTTCTCTCTCTCTCTCTCTCTCTCTCTCTCTCACACACACACACACACGCACGCACGCAAATGTCACCTGCTTCTGCAGGATTCCATGGAAGAGTTCCAGTTTTATTGTCGATAGCTTATTCGACATCAATCTACAATGAAGTCGACATCAATCTACAACGAAGACTTATCATCACAATGGAGATTTTCTGATGATGACCAGTTCATGTGAAAATGCTACCTCGTCGACTTAATTCTTTTCCAAAATTGGTACTCTGCTAACGCTCTTGGTGATTCCTTACAAAGGGTATCATATTGTTTTGGAATATGCTAAAATCAAGACTCACCCATCTTCATTGATAAGAACACTAGCATCAATAAAACTCATCTGGAAGGGATTCATGTCTGAACATCGATATGGATGAATGGAGGTTAGCAAGAAATCAACCAGCACCGTTTTCGATACCCCAAATCAGAACCAATAGCATCACTGCTTCTTCTTTCTCCATTCAATTGATCTAAATTTCTGTAAAATCTCGAATTCTCCAATAGACATGATATATTTGTTGAATCCACCTTCTAGCATTGCATAAGCCAAATAAATTTTGTACCCGCAACCATGTTTGTTGTTGATTGTACATAAAACCCCCAAATTGGATGTTGGAATTTCTAGGGTCGATGGTGATAAGAAGGTTGTCATACCTGTTCTACTTAGAGATGCATGTATGATAAGGAGATCATCGGATTTATAGCTAGAGGAAGAGGAACATGCAGGTAGAGGAAGAAGATGCACATAGAGAACCCAGATAAAGCTCAAGCTCATTAATTTGAAGTTATAGCCGACGATAGGTCAACAGGAAGGATGGTGTAGGCAAGAATGCCGACGGTGGGGGTAGACAACAAGAAAAGATGAAGATGAGGATGGTGGGTATGGAGGGGTGTGGTGGTGGTGGTGGTGGTGAATAAGTGAAATTAAGATAGGGTGGTTGCCTGGTTGGTGTCGTTTGGGAGAGAGAGAGAGAGAGAGAGAGAGAGAGAGAGAGAGAGAGAGAGAGAGGTGAGTAGTTGATTTTATTTTTATTTTTTCATAATTATTAAAGAGGGTGATAATTTATTTATTTTTTATTTTTTTATAATTATTTAAGTACTAAAACAAATTAAAAAATATAAAATAGAAATAATAAGGGCAAAATACTTATTTTAACCCTTTTAGGACTATAATCACAGAAAGTTTGTGATTTTAGATCATCTACGTAAATCGAAAAGATTTTGGACCCTATCCAAAGTTTTTTACAAACCATAAAAACCAAATTTTTTAGTTTTGTAGTAAAAAAAACTTGATTTATGTTAACTAGTTTTGTTGGAAAAAAAACTTGATTTAAGATAACAAGTAATGGATAAAATTGGATTTTTTTCAAAAAAGAAAGAAAAAAGGTCTACAAACAAAAAAAACAAAATATAAATTCGTTATATGTAGATAACTTTTTTTTTATGATAAATAAGTATTAAAAACTCCTAGGCTGAATAAATTTTTTTATTTTTTTTACTTTTTCTTAAAACTTGAAAAAACTGTCAGAGCATCCAAGCCGGACAAGCCCAGACTATTTTATTTTAACATCGATAACAACTGGACCATTTTAATATTCAGTAACTAGTTCCCTTTCGATGACTTTTGAAGATGAATGCCTATATAAAGAGTTGTATACCTCCAAGACGGAGTTTGTTTTGCATAGACACAAGAACAACCAGCTGCCATGGCGGATTGCATCACCAAAGCAATTCAGGTGCATTGTTGTGCTCAAAGGCCTTCATTTGATCAACACAAAAACCTTCTCTTATCATCTTTCCAGGTTCTTCTCTCTCTCTCTCTCTCATACAAATTTCGCAATTGATCGTTAACTATAAGCTAACACTATTCGAATTTCAATCAACAGCCATTAATGGGCGAGGTGCTAAAATTTCCCATGAAGATTCAAGTTTCTCGAGCCATGATCAAGAAAACCTCCATAGATTTATTAGACGTTTTCACGAATTCAGTGTTCAAGTTCATCGACCATCCATCACTCCCATCTCAGGTAATACATATAACCAGTATCGAAGTATCCATGAATGATACATAAGCACATGCATTCACAAATTGATCAGTCGTTTACTTCATGGGTTTTATTATTTTCACGCAGAGTAACTTTGCTCCAATTGAAGAGATGGGAGAAGCTGCTTGTGTCGATGATATACTGGGAACGATCCCAAATGATTTTCCAGAGGGTGTTTATGTAAGAAATGGTATGTGAAACTGCTCTGAATTTCTTCTTCTTTTTTTCTACTTTTTATGAGACAATAAGTTTTCAAGATTCAAATTTCCAGGTCCAAATCCTCTTTTTGGAGGGTTTAAATCAACTAACTCGATATTTGGGAAATCAAGTCACATATGGGTGGAAGGAGAAGGAATGCTTCATGCGTTGTACTTGAAGAAAGATAGCAATGGTAAATGGAGTGTTTCTTACAACAATAAGCATGTAGAAACCGATACATTCAAGATGGAAAAACAAAGAAACAAACCTTCATTTCTTCCTGCCATCGAAGGCGATTCTCCTGCTATTTTATCAGCTTATTTTCTCAATCTGGTACGTTCATGACCTGATTCATAGCTAGCAATGCTTTCAAAAGTTTTAAAAAGCATTGGCGTTTGATGCATTCTTTATGGTTTGTGTAGATGAGATTTGGAACAGTCAACAAACTGATAAGCAATACAAGTGTTTTTGAGCATTCAGGAAAGTTCTACGCAGCAGCTGAGAATCATTTGCCTCAAGAGATCGACATTCAAACACTGAACACGTTAGGCACATGGGATGTCGATGAATCTTGGAATCGACCCTTTACAGCACACCCAAAGGTGATCATTTGTGAATCCCTAGATCTTACAGATTCGATTATGATCATCTTGTTGGTGTTATAGCTAAGCTTGGACTATATGTTTTGTCTCAGTAGAAAGCTCCAGGTTCCGGGGAGCTAGTAATGATGGGAGTAAACGCAATGAAACCTTTCTTTGAGATCGGAATCATAGAAGGTACTTAAAGTCGTTTCTTTTTCGTCTCAAAGTTTCATTTTCATGATTGATAATTTGTATGCAGCTGATGGAAGCAAACTAGTTCATAAATCAGATCTAAAGTTCGAAAGGTGTAGCCTTTCCCATGATATCGGTGTTACAATGAGGTAAACATTAGCAATAATTCATTGTATCTTCCAGTTTCTGACGAAAAAACATTTCTTCAAGAATTTAATTCACGTACTCTTTGCAGATACAATGTGATACTTGATTTCCCGTTGACCATAGACATAAAACGACTTGTAAATGGAGGCCCGTAAGCATCTTCATCACTGCGTTCTTGAATATTTTCTTGAAAGATTTTGGTTAATTACGAACTGTTGACGCATATTTGCTAACAATGTATATAGATTGATAAAATACGATAGAGAGGGATACGCGAGGATTGGAGTGATGCCACGCTATGGTGATGCAGATAGCGTGAGGTGGTTTGAAGTGGAATCATGTTGTGTGTTTCATATTATTAACACTTATGAGGATGGCGATGAGGTTAATTAGCAGCTTATACGAATCTATATATCATTATATGTGCAAGTGTAACGATTGTTAATAGGTAAATTTCGCAACATAAACAGGTAATAGTGCATGCATTTAGAGCGAACAACTCTATTATACCAGGACCCGATCTAGGGTTGAACAAGTTTGAGTGGTTTTCAAGCCGTTTCAAGTGTTTGGAGTCGCAACAATCCGACACTGCTTTCAGTTCAGATGAATCTTTCTTCTCACGAGCTTACGAATGGAGATTAAACATGGAGAATGGAGAAGTGAAAGAACGATATCTCTCAGGAACAACACGTTCGATGGATTTCCCTATGATTAATGAAAATTATTTGGGCCTTGAAAACAAATATGGGTATGCCCAAACTGTTGATCTAGATGCGAGCTCCATTTCAGGCATGGCTAAATATGGAGGACTAGTGAAGCTCCATTTGAAAGACAGAAGATCGAGTTTAATGGTAGAGAATTATAACTTTGTGCTACAATTTTAATACCATATTTATGCAGATTGATAACTTTATACTATCTTCTTAGGATGAAAAACAAGATTATGTAGAAATGGAGTACCATAAATTTCCAGAAAACACATTCTGTTCAGGTGCTGTGTTTGTGCCGAAGCCCGGTGGCCTTGAAGAAGATGATGGTTGGGTGATCTCGTTTGTACATGATGAACACTTGAATAGATCTCGGGTAAGTTTATATTAATCTCTTATTACATGTGTATATTCTTGTGAAGCAAATCATACTAATGGTTCTTGGATATGAATGGGGGACAAATTGGCTTAATTTCACAGGTTATTCTAGTAGATGCACATAAGTTTACCAGTGAGCCAGTTGCAATTATTAATTTGCCATGTCGAGTGCCTTACGGTTTTCATGGAGCTTTCATGCCGATAATCTCGTAAATATATATATGATGTGGACCAAGTCGAACAACTAATTCAAGTCGTGCTTACATGAGATTATGTGGCCCACTTGTTAATGTGTGTTATGATTTAGATACTTTAGTGTTGTATAGCCCATTGTGTATTCTCTAGCATAGTATACGGCTCATGGCCTCACTGTATTGTATTTATACTTTGTAACATTATCAGTTTGAATCAAAGAAATCAATTTCTCAATATTGTATGGGAGTCTACTACAAAATCCTCCTAAAATCTCACATTATATATTTATATTCACATCCCACTGCCAACCTTCATTCGGCATTACGAACGAAAAACATATGTGCATTTTGCTCTTGATCTTTTTTTAAAACCACAAATCTGATCTACTCCTAAACTAATCCTAATACCACTTATGTCATAGACAGGAATTGGACCCTTGGCCTCATGAAGGGAGGGCAAGACCTAATACGGTTGGACAAGAAACCAAATGGCTTCAACTAGCATTCCATAGATTTGAAACGAAAGCATATGCTAAAGAGAAATATGGGGGTACATAGCTTGGATGGCAACATATAATTGTTAATCACCCTCCAAGCCAGAGACTTTTGAGTTGTGGAGAATAATCTAAAGATGAAGGTGAAGTTGTTGTAACTTGTATGTAATATCCCAATTAAAATAAGATAATTAAATAATAAACGGAACCCGATGTGTAATTTTTATCATTATTTTATATTATTATAGCCCAAAAATCGAGTAATAAGTATCGGGATGTTAATTTCGGGGGTTAAAGTGCAATTAAGGGACTTATTTTGAAAAGGTTTTGAAAGAGGAGGGACTATTTGTTATCATTTGGACCAATATAAAAGAATTTATGGAAACATGGGGTTAAAGAGTAAATATTAAACTTAATTTGAGAAGAATTCATCAAGGAGGAACCATTTGGTAACAATTGGATTGAATTTGGAAAAAAAAAAAAAAAAAAAAAAAAAGGGAATGGGGGTGGGACTGATATTGTTATTATGGCTTAATGTTTTGAGGGATCGGGTATATAGCTTAAGGTAACCCTAACCCTAGAGGCCTTCCATCAGCCACCGCTCTCTCTATATATACATCTTTAACCTCCGCTGCTATCTCCTTGCTGATGCTCGACGCACTGGTGTCTCCGTCGCCGGCAAAGACGTGGACGATGTAGCTGCTGTCGAGAGGGACCACGGAGATCATGAAAGGTGTTGTCGAACCATCGCCGCCTTGCTGCTTTCGTTGCTGCCATTTCAGACGAGAAGAGAGGCTGAGGATCGAAGCCGGATGTCGGGAATCACTTTCATTCAACCTAAGTCGTCGAGCAATTGTTGATGCTCATCTAACCGCCTCCTCCCCAGCTGTATTCACTTCTTCTTTTGTTCATCATCGATGCGTCTCAGCTTCGTTGGCGCCACCATGACTGTCGTCGTTATGTCGCTCGTGGTGCTGTTGCTGTCGTTATGTACTACCGGTGGTGGTTGTGTCCAGAATCTCGAGGAAGGGTTTGTTGTGTGCGTTGATTGACTGGGAACCAACAAAAAACCACCGCCACCATCGTCAGGTGGTGGTTGCCATCGTAAAGTCATCACTAACGCTGCCATACGCGATCAAATGGGTGGTTGGCTTCCCTTTTCGAGCAGAAGGCTTGATGATGTGCGTGTTCAGTTGATAAGTGTGTGGGTGTTTGGCTGGAGTTCTCGGAAAAGGCATCACCACCACCATAGGGTGGTGGCTGCCGCGATATGCCGCCTTGTGTGTGTTTATCTTATTGCGTGGGTGTATTTTAGCGTGTGTGTGTGTGCGGTTACTTTTGGGATATTCATTGTAATTTGTAACAAAAGATAGAATAATGAAAAGAAATTGAAAACCACCACCTTAGGGTGGTGGCTGCTACCATCGGCCGTCGTGTCAGGTGGCGGTGTGCTTGCCTCGTTGAGTTTGATTCGTTTAGGGTGCTTGAAACCTTAATGGGCCTTATAAGCCCTAATGGACCCTAATTGACCCAATAAAACCCTAATGGGCTTAATGATATTCTAGTGGGCTTAATGGGCCTAATAAAGCCCTAATTGACCTAAAAGCCCAACAAATTGATAAATGGGCTAGTATTTGGGTTAGAAACCCTAATTTGGGTTTGGAAAACCCTAATGCAAATAAAACCCTAATTTTGAGAATTTATCAGGACACACGAGAATTGTTTAATAACTTGAAATATTAAATAATAATCATTGGCAAAAGTTAATCTAAGCAATATTGGACTTAGTGGATTAAGTCCTTAGTGGGTTAAGTCCTTAATGGGTTAAGTGAGAAACACTTAACCTCAATCGTTATTTTATGTGAAACCCTAATTTCACTTGGGTTTATTGTTGGGCCTTGATGATTGGATTATTAATGGGTCATCCAATAATAATCTTATGGACTAGAATATGTTGATGGGCTTACGGTAAGACCCATATGAGGGTTTTGACCCAATTTGGAAAATTGGGCCACAGATGGGCCATAGTTTAGTCCTTTGTGATTATGAGATATTAGGCCATTGAAAATACAAAATGATTGACTGGACTTTTGGTTGGGCCTTAGAATGAGACCATGCAAAGTTTTGGGCCCAATTTGGAAAATTGGGCCATATGTTGGGCTTTGATTCATAGTTGACTTTGGGCCTATGGATTGGGCCTTGGGCTTGAATAAAGCCAACCTTGGGGTAATGTGGTAATTATCCACGTATGTATTTTTGGTTATGTGTTGCGACCTAATTATTAATTGGATGTTATTTTGGTGTTGATAGTTCGGGAATCTGTCATCCAGCAGTTGGGGTTAAGTCTGCGGGACTTCAGCAACGTGGGGTTATGTCTATGGGACTTCATCAGTGTGAGGTGAGCTACCTTCCAGTAGTGGTGGGTCTACGACCACAATGTCGACCCACCAGTAGGAGTTGTATGTTGGATGATTGTCTTTGTGATATTCATCTAGGTTTGCCTCTACTTGATATGTTTTATGTTGTAGCATGATATGATGTTACATGATAATGATGGTAGGGGGTGAAATAGTCCCCGGTTACCGATCGATAGGACCGAAGGGGTAGATTAGTACCCAACTATGCTAGATAGATTATGATATATGTGTTATGTTCTAGTGTGGTAGTGGTAGGGGTAAAATAGTCCCTGGTTACCAGTTGCAAGATACCGAAGGGGAGGCTAGCACCCAGATATGTTAGGCAGTTACCAATTGAAATATACCGAATGGGAGGCCAACACCCAGATATTCTAGGCAGTTACTGGTTGAAAGATACTAAAGGGGTGGCCAACACCCAGATATGCTAGGCATTATGTGTTTATATAGTATGTGGTATGATGGGGGAACTCACTAAGCTTCGTGCTTACAGTTACAGTTTTGGTTTCAGGTACTTCGTTTTCAAAGGAAAGGAGTCGGCTCAATCGTAGCGCATCACATTATGGTTTTCCGCACATGAGATCTTTGGGATTACACTCTGATATTGTTTATGATAACATGTTTTGGTTATTTCTACTTTAGTTTGACATGACATGATATTATGGAGGTTTTATTATACTTTTGGTTTTATAATAACTTATTTAAAAATGAAATTTTTGGCCTTGAATTTTGGGATGTTATATTGTAACTTAAGCTAAGGGAGAATTTTACAAGAAGCCCGGTCTTGGCTTCGGCTTAGAGCACAATGTTGAGCTTCATATCAAAAGCGAAGGTTGACCTAAAAAGAGAACATTAGAGACTTCGTCCGCAAAGCAAACACCGTAGCCAATGGAGGTTTTGTATAGGTGCTGATAGTGGCACTGACAACACCTACCCCTCTCTATGGTGTCTGTTAACAATGTTAAAAATTTCGATTTTTTTACCTATTTTTCCTGTAACAGTAATATATACTTCAATTTCGGCAACACCTAGTATGTATTCTTAGGTTCGTCCTTGTAGCATAGTTGTAGAGAATCAAAGCTTCAAGTGAGAAGCCAAATTAAGGCACAATTTCACCTTTAGTATTCTCCGACGTTGGGTGTTCTCCATGCTTAATTCGTAGCTATAGTAGAAGAGAAGTTGTTCCCGGCTCTAAGCATGAGTTTGTCCTATTAATTTAGTAAGCAAGAGTACTTATGGGCCAACCTTTGAGCCTAGCCTAAAAGATTTAGGTCAACGAACATAACAAGTCTATTTAAAGTTAATATGGTTCTAAGGTATATATATATATATATATATATATATATATATATATATATATATATATATATATATATATATATATTTATTGATAACCCTTTTAAACTTCATAAATAATTTGTTCATAATTCCTCAGTAATGTATCCATCTTAGTATTCATGTTTCCTTTTTATACGAGGTATCCATTATTTTTGGTAGCTTTAGTATCCCTTGAGATGTTTCTGTGTCCTTCAAAAATCTACCCGTCCAAAAATTATAACCCAACTCACCCCATCTCCTTAAAGAATCTCACATTCGTGTGATTTTACAACACTAATGACTAATCTGAAACTGTCAATATGCTTATTTTATAGGAATCTATATCGGGCTAGATTTTTTGAGTATTACTAGCCTATTAGACATTTTGGAATATATTTGTGTTATAAATATTTAGCATATTGTTATCGGAAAAGTAAAAGTTTAATTGAAGTTTTGTTTTTTATTATCATCTTAATTGTGTTTTTTTTTATCCCATTAAAATTATTAAAAAGAAATCAGGCCTATTTTGTTAATATAAATTTTTAAGGGAAAAAATGCATCGCAAAAAAAGGATTTTTTTTATTTATTTATTTATTTAAGCACAGATATAATGGCATACAGATTGTCACTAACAGCTAAAAATGTTGTAGTTGTGTAATAAAATAATATTACTAGAAAACAAAAAACTTTTAACAACACAAACACAAAGTGTCATTATAGAGTATAGACTTTTAGTGGCAACATTTTTAGCAAGTATCTAAAAAGTTTGTTTATCATGTCTTCTTAATGGTGTGTCATGATTCAAAGGATTATACTTGATATTATACTTCAACAAAATATCACATTAAGTCATATATATATATATATATATATATATATATATATATATATATATATATATATATATAT